CCCCCCCCCCCCCCCCCCCCCCTTTCTGGGCCATTAAAGCAGAAATGTGCATAAAAGACTCCATTTTAACTTAAGTAATTCCAGGTGCTGCTGTACTGCGCCCTTAGAAATCAGTTCAATGACTGATTGTCATACTTTTTTTTTTTTCCTTATGTGCAGACAGACTGCTAAAAGAATGGATTCTGAAACCCTACAATAAAAATCCTTAACACCAGCTGTGGAATAAATGCAGAGCATTTGCCTAGTGCTAAGTGCTACTTTGTGTCAAAGCAGCTAATCAGACCCTACTTTTCAGTACAGCCGTTGCACACTGATTGCAGAAAGGCTCCTTGCTCTGAAGCCATCAAGAGTTGCTATGGGAATCAAGAGGGCACTTGGAGACAGGATCTGGAGCTTGGCTCTCTCCTGTTCTTGGCTGCTAGAGTCACAAGAATGAAAAAACATGAAAGGAGGAGTAGAAAGGCGATGGGAAATGCCTGCATATCCGAGAAGGAGGTTTGTAGTTTGAGACTGCCGAGTGGGAAACAGTGAAGAGACTTATGCATCTAGTAATAGTGGTTCAGTTTCAGTTGGCTGGACCTTATTTCTGCTGTAAAGTTAATCCAACGAATTACAGCCAAACTCTCTCTGTAGCAAACCTTAGGAAGATGGGATCCAACTCATCAGCATACCAACCCAAGTGTATTTATCTGGATATTGATGGAAGGATTCAAAAGGTACTTGTTCATTCCTTTCTTGTTTGCAGCTACTATCTTTATCCATTTATATTTGCATCTAAATGGATTCATGACCTCACTTCTTAAAAAATCTGCTGTATCCTGAGCCCTATTTGCATTCTCATTCAGCTGTAAGCATTGCTGCCTTTTGTAAAGCAATCCTGAAATATGAATCTTTACTTGTGAAAATGCTCATGGTGTATAGTAACAAAACCCTCAGGATACCCAAGATATGGATAGCGTGCATGGATTCTTGTTTGTTCTGCACAAATTTAGTATGTATGCCCTTCTGTAGATATACATGCAAAGGATTTGTGTGAATGGATTTTAGTGTAAATAGAAGTGATACCTATTTTAGTGGTCATAAAGTAGAATAATAGAAAGGTGTAAGTAGGGTATTTGGGAAAAAAATCAAAATTATATTGAATTATTTTCTAATAATGTCTGCCTGTTATACTTATTCTTTCCAGGGTACCTAGTAAATATGTTTTTGTGTGTGTACGTGTGTGCACATGTACCTATATTGAAGTGCATTAAACTTCTGTTGTAACTCATAATATGATTTTAGTATGGGTGAACCTAGCAACATGAAGATATTAACTAATATCAATCTAATATCAATATCAAATATGTTTTGATAATATCTAATATCAAATATGTTTTTGTGTGTGTACGTGTGTGCACATGTACCTATATTGAAGTGCATTAAACTTCTGTTGTAACTCATAATATGATTTTAGTATGGGTGAACCTAGCAACATGAAGATATTAACTAATATCAATCTAATATCAATATCAAATATGTTTTGATAATATCTAATATCAAATATGTTTTTGTGTGTGTACGTGTGTGCACATGTACCTATATTGAAGTGCATTAAACTTCTGTTGTAACTCATAATATGATTTGTATGGGTGAACCTAGCAACATGAAGATATTAACTAATATCAATCTAATATCAATATCAAATATGTTTTGATAATATCTAATATCAAATATGTTTTTGTGTGTGTACGTGTGTGCACATGTACCTATATTGAAGTGCATTAAACTTCTGTTGTAACTCATAATATGATTTTAGTATGGGTGAACCTAGCAACATGAAGATATTAACTAAAAAGGGAGCAGATCTAAAATCTAATTGAGAAAATGTGACAAAAATGCACCTTTTGTACATGTATGACTTCCCAGTTTATAATCTGTTCTCATGATAAATACCAGGAGATAGGACTTCAAAAATCTAATTAGCTTCATGGCTGAGGTGCTTGGGTGCTAAATCAAGATGACATGCATTATTAATGTATTATTATATCAGCTTCCCCAAACCTATGTGTTCTACATGTGCTTCACTCCTATAGACAGCGGAGAGAGAGAGAGAGAAGAGAGAAAGAGAATTACAGCAGGCTGTTTGTCCATTCTTTCCCCTGGATATGTTATTAGTCAATAAAACTAATTTAGTAAAACTTCTCTTGTTCCCATATTAATACAATATGTAACTATATCATACTTAAGGCTGCAGACCTCTACCTACTTTTCTGGGAATAAATCCCACTAAATTAAAAGGAACTTATTTCTAAAGAAGAATACCTGGAATTGTATAATAAAAGATTTTCTATATGTGATTTTATTAGAAAATACTATTGTATTGTCCCATGAAAAAGATGTAGCTCGGAGATGCTTTATTCTAAAGAAATGTCTCTGGAATGGACTTGGAATTTGGGAGCAAAACTTCTTGACAATCAGAGGATGACAAAAATAACAAAGTAAAAACAAATATATTGCCATTTTAAAATGATGGAGATGGAGGAGAAGAAATTTTTAATATCAGTGTAGTTCTTTTGTTTTCCCCTACTAGTTGGGGATTACAAGATTGAAGCATCTTTGGAGGACACGAATTTGGGCCAGTTGATATAATATGCATTAAATATTCTCAAGCTTTTCATATCTCGTGAGCTGTTATGATGTCACACATGCCATCCACATGGCACTGCTGCAGCCATGGTGAACCATTCTCTGGAAAATGTTTGGAAAGACTACCTGGTACGAAATAATGGGAATGGCACTTTGAGTGAAGCCTATATGATCCTAAGCATGTTATTCTGATTTCCATTGATCTTCACTGGTTTCCAGTGTGTTTCCAAGCACAAGTGCAGAGCATTATATTTAACTCCTTTAAGCAGTGTGGGATTTGCCATATAGCAATGCCCATCCACTGTGATCTAGGCAAAGACCTAGCAGCTTATCCTGTTACAAGTTCTGCTAGAGATCAATGCAAAATGGAGCCTTTTCATTTGTGGCATATTTATGGAATCCTCTTCCCAGACCAAATTGGCCATTTATTTATTAGCAAGTTGGCATATTGTCAAAACACCTTTTTTTCCCACTCTTTTAATCCTGCCCTATCATTTTATGATGTTGGTTTCTGATTTTCTATTTTTGTTATTTGGTTTTACAAGATGACTTTTTTTTTTTTTTTACTGTTCTGCTATTTTAAAATTATATTTTAGTGCTGCTTTAGTAGCCCTTTAGGTTCAAAGTTTTAAGTGATTATGCACACAATTATTGTAGTATCTGCATTTCTATTAACTCAAAATCACCCTTAGAAACCTGCATGTCTTCTGCAATATTACCTTAGCAAATGGCTTGTGGAAGTTCAGATTATGAATTGACCTTAGTGTTCCTTGACAAAGACAAATAAAACTGTCTGAAAAGATAGATCTACCAGTTTTTGATCACATGATAATACACTATTCATACTCCAACCATGCTTACAGTAGAGAGTTGTCCCCAGTTGCTTGTTCCTAGATTCTCTTGGTGGCTTGAGGCTTGTGCGGGCAGAATAAAATCTTCTGGGAGCAGACATGGATAGAAGATAGAAAGCAGTAGGAAAAAAGCACCTGGGTAACTATAAGCAGTTATCCCCAGCCTGATACATCTGAACGCATTAGGATAACAGTTGCCAGAATTCCCAGCCAGCCTGGGCTATTCTGATTAGCTCAAAGTCGCTTGGTTAGAGAAGGCTGCAATAGGGAGCGTGGGGAAGGGCTGCCAAAAGAAGCAGCTATTAGTGTGGCAAGACATTATTTGCAGGACCATGGATAGCTCCAAGGCAGACAGCTTGTTCCAACAATTGCTAGAGTTGAACCAAACCGTTATACTATATATTGGGTAGAAAACCTATACAGTACTGTATGCAACTCAAGCTCCATCTCAGGTAAAAAGGATATCTCTTTTGAAGCTTTGATTCTGAGCACAGACTCATTTGATACTCTATGGTCTAGTGGTGGGACCTACAGCATCTTAGGCAAGAAGAGATAGTCCCTTGTAGTGAGACCTCATGGGACTCAAATTGTGCAGTCTGTTGGTCCACTAGTCAGTGTCAAAAACATTCTTTCTGATATATTTTCCTCAAGCAACTTTGAAGCCAAATAAGAACAGATTATGTGATTTGGTTCTAGTTACAGTATTATCTTAAATACATTTCAAATATACCACAAAATCCATAGTTGTAGTCATGGTGTTAACTTAATGTATCATGACCTGTCTGGCACTACAAACCATTGCCAATGTATGTGAAGATAGAAACACCTTTTTCACCAGGCTTCCTTAAAGTTGAAAGTGCCTTGCTGTCGCTTAAGTTCTTGGACACCCTCCCAGTTCTGTGCTGAACATTTATAAACCTTTTGTGCATTCATCAAAGATTTCTAATGGTAAAAATCAGAATGTTATCTTTCTCTTATTCTGAAAAAAGTCTGAAAAATGACCTAATTTCTGAAGAAGATATAGCAGCCCCAAACACTTCAATCTATATCTTCAGAAGTGCAAAGTTAGGAAATGGTACAATGCAAGTATCATTTACTTGTTTTTGTAGTAATTTTATAAAGATGATATGGTTTCCAAAAAGTGGGATGTTACTATCTTTCTCATTTTGTAATTTTGTACTGAAGGAACATCTCTGGCTTTTATCTCCATATCCCTAGTAAAAATGGTAATATTCAAATTCCTAGTAGATTCCTAGGAATTTGCTATATTTATTCAATTATTGAATATTCAATAATATTCAAATTCCCTGTGTGTGTGGGTATATGGCAGATTTGTTCCAAAATCTTAATTCCATGCTTTCTATCATGGAAATTATACCATTTGGAGTTCCTTCACATAACACAACCCAGACTTATTCCCCAACCCCCTATTTTTTATGGATTGAAAAACTAACATAAGAAGCAAATTTTATTAAAAGATTGCTAACTAAAGGCCATTTTTACCGTTGAAAAAAAATTGTGGGAAGGACATATGTCTGAAAAAGCACTATAAATTATAATATAAAAACTTGCTAGACAGATTTTTATCTATTTCATTTATTGATAATGAAATTCTATCAGCTGAAACTTGAAGGAAAAAATCAGGGAAATGAAAGTGAGGATATACTGTATTTATTGGCATATAACACGCACAGGCGTATAACACGCACCTTAATTTTAAGGACGTTTGAGTAAAAAAACTTAAATTTAAAATAAATGACTTGGAAGGAAAATAAAGGGAACTCTGAACTTTTTGTTTATTAATATTTATACCACTTATAAGGTAAATATGAAAGAAAAAGCACCTCTTTTGTATGTTGTAGGCTGGCTGCGTGTAGTGTGTGTGTACCATTAGTGTTCGTTAGTTGTGTGTAATGTGTGGTAATGGTAATCTGTTTATTACCATACTGGTAA